GGGAGGAGGGATTTACTGGCATCTCCAACGCCCTGTTGCCCCCTTCTCCCCCCAGGAGATTCGCTTCCCGAAGATGGTCACCAACTGCTGCCGCTTCCTCTGCTACTTCTGCCGCATCAGCCGCCAGAACCAGCGCTCCATGTTCGACCACCTCAGCTACCTGCTGGAGAACAGCGGCATCGGGCTGGGTGAGCTCCCCACAGCCGCTGGCAGTACGGGGCGCAGGACACAGAGCTGGTGGGGTGCGATCTCCGCCAGCAGGGGGCAGCAGGGACACCCCCCCCCCCACGAGCAGGGCTCAGCCCCTCCAGCAGGGGGCAGCGTGACACACACACACATACACACACGCGTACATGTGCAAACGCCAGGCAGCTCTTCGCACGCTGCCCTGCTCACGCCCGGCCCCCTTCCCGAGCCCCCGGGTGCTAACCCCGCTGCCCTCCCCCGGGCGGGCCCCTCTTCTCCCCTAGGCATGCGGGGATCCACGCCCCTGGACGTGGCTGCTGCCTCCGTCATCGACAACAACGAGCTGGCGCTGGCGCTGCAGGAGCAGGACCTGGAGAAGGTGGGGGACGGGGCGGGGCGGGGCGGGGCGGGGGGCCTGTGGTGATGGGGGGCGAGAGGTTTGCAGGGTGGGGGACAGAGCGCAACTGACCAGGGAGGGAGGCTGAAAGTGACCAGGCTGTTGGGGATGAGGGGGATGCGTGTGTGGGGGCAGGTTTGGAGGGGGGACACATTGTTTCACTGAGCACCATCAGCCCGCTGGCCCTTTCCCTGCGACCCCCGCTCCTTGGCTGCTTGGGGAGGACAAGTACCCCCCGCCCCACGGTCTGCATGCTCCTGCCCCCCCCCCAGGTGGTGATGTACCTGGCGAGTTGCGGCCTGCAGAGCTGCCCCATGCTGCTGGCCAAGGGCTACCCCGACATCGGCTGGAACCCCTGCGGGGGGGAGCGCTACCTGGACTTCCTGCGCTTCGCCGTCTTCGTCAACGGTGAGCCACTGGGCACGGCGGGGATGGGGAGCATCCCTGTATGCGGAGCCCCCTGGCTCGGGGCAGGGCGGGCCATGGGGCAAAGACCCCCCCCGGCTCAGGGCAGGGTGGGGCCATGGGGCAAAGACCCCCCGGCTCGGGGCAGGGCGGGTCATGGGGCAAAGACACCACCCCCCCACCCCCCACCCCGGCTCGGGACAGGCCAGGAATGTGTCTCTTGCTAGGTGAGCCTGGCTTGGATTGAAGAGCCCCAGGAGGTGCCAGCCCTCCTGCCCCCCGTTACCTGTCCCCCTCCCTTGGCACCAAGGGGTCCCAGCCAGGTCTCCCCTCCCGGCCAGGGCTCCCCTTTCCTGCATCCACCAGTGAGGCAGGCAGCCGGTCTGAGCGCGGTGCCCTCCCGCCCCTGCAGGCGAGAGCGTGGAGGAGAACGCCAATGTGGTGGTGCGGCTGCTGATCCGCCGGCCCGAGTGCTTCGGGCCTGCCCTGCGCGGCGAGGGCGGCAGCGGGCTGCTGGCCGCCATCGAAGAAGCCATCAAGATCTCGGAGGATCCGGCCCGGGACGGGCCCACCGTGAAGAAGGACCGTCGGCGGGAGCTGTGCGTGCGGGCGCGGATTTGCACGGGCAGTGTCGAGTGTGCGCGTGCGTGTGCACCAGGGCCGTGCCGTGGGCACAGAGCTGTGTGCTGTGCCGCGGGGGTGCACAGACCGTGGTGGACACTGTGTGTTCTGGGTGTGCGGCTGGTTGTGTGTTTGTTTGCACGGTTGATGCGCGGTGCACGTTTGCACCAACCCTTTGTGTGTGCGCACGCAGGTGTGTAGCTGTGAGCACATGGGCAGTGTGTGTGTGTGTGTGGCGTGGTGTGTACCTCGCACTCTGCGTGTGCACAGGGTGTCTGTGTGTGCCCTCCCCGTGTCCCCCACCAGCTACACACATCAGAGCAAACGCTGCCTTGCAGAGCGCCACTCCACGGGGGCTGCCCTGCGTGTCGTCCCGCTCAGCCCCCCGTGGTGAGATCCACCCATCCCTTCCCCGGTCACACCGCCAGCCCTGCATGCTCCCCTCTCCTTGCGCCCCCCTCGGTCTTACCCACCCTCCCTTCCCCGGGCCCCACACACACCGACCCACGGGTGTGTCCTCCAGCATTTGTGTCTTCTCTGCCCGCCCCCCGGATCCCCACCCACACCCTCAACCCTGCCCACGCCAACACCCCAGGCCCCCGTGTGCCCAGCCCAGCGACACGCCCTTCCTCCCTGGTGGGGGCTGGCGGGAGACAGGATCCCGCCCCCTCTCACTCTCGCTCTCTGCGCCCCGACAGGTTCGGGGGGGAGGAGACGCATGAGGAGAACCGAGTGCACCTGGGCAACGCCATCATGTCCTTCTACGCAGCGCTGATCGACCTGCTGGGGCGCTGCGCCCCCGAGATGCATGTAAGCGCCCGGGTGGGGGCGGGGGAGGGCTGGGGGCGCGGGGTGCCAGCTGGGTGACACCTGCGCTCTCTGCCCACAGCTGATTCAGGCCGGGAAGGGCGAGGCGCTGCGGATCCGGGCCATCCTGCGCTCCCTGGTGCCCCTGGACGACCTTGTCGGCATCATCAGCCTTCCGCTTCAGATCCCTGCCTTTGGCAAGGGTACGGGCCTGGGGCCTTTCCCCTCTGGGGGGCGGCGCCCATCGGCCCTGGGCGGGGGCTGGCTGGTTTGGGGAGACCCGGGGTCTTTCCCCTCTAGGGTATGGCTCCCATCGGCCCTAGGCGGGGGGCTGGCTGGTTCGGGGGGACCCGGGGCCCTTCCCCTTTGGGGGCACCAGCTCCCATCAGCCCTGGGCGGGGGGCTGGCTGGTTTGAGGAGACCCGGGGTCTTTCCCCTCTAGGGTATGGCTCCCATCAACCCAGGGCAGGGGGCTGGCTGGTTCGGGGAGACCCGGGGTCTTTCCTCTCTGGGGTGCAGCTCCCATCGGCCCTGGGCAGGGACTGGCTGGTTTGGGGGGCCCTGGGGCCTTTCCCCTCTGGGGGGCGACTCCCATCGACCTGGGATGGGGGTCTGGCTGGCTTAGGGGGGTGGGGAATGGCCCTTGGGGGCTGGCTCTGGTCTGGCCCTGGGGTGAGGTTGGGACTGGCTGGCTCAGGGGGCGGGAATGGGGAACAGGGCACAGGGCAGGGAAGCCCAGGACCAGCTGGCTGGGGGTGAGGGGCTGATATTCGGGGACCCTGGAGACTCCCATTTTTGGGGGGCCAGGAGGGGCAGGGCAGCGGGACTGAGCCGGTGCCCCCCCCCCTTGTGTCTGCCCCCAGACGGGAACGTGGTGGAGCCCCGGATGTCGGCCAGCTTCGTGCCGGATCACAAGGCGCCCATGGTGCTGTTCCTGGACCGCGTCTACGGCATCGAGAGCCAGGACTTCCTGCTGCACGTGCTGGAGGTCGGCTTCCTGCCCGACATGCGGGCCGCCGCCTCGCTCGACACCGTGAGTGGGGCAGGGCCGTGGGGCAGCCAGCTGGGATCCCCCCCCCACCACCTGGGGGCAGGGCTGTGGGGCAGCCGACCGGGATTCCCCTGTCACGGACTCACAGGTCGTGCCCACTCTTGGCCCCATGCAGTCCATGGGGGGTGCCCCTTTCAGTGAGACCGCCATTCCCGGGGGTCCACTCTCTCTCTGGGGTCAGGCCCCTCCACCTCCTGGAGTCGCACCTCTCTGAGTCTTAGCACACCTGTCTCTCGCCGTGGGCCCCCTCAGGGAGTCCACTCGCTCTGGACCCCCGGGGCCTCCACCCCCCGAAGGGGACGATGCCCCCTGTTCTCTAGCCCGGAGCGACTCTCAGCCAGCGTAACACAGGAGGGTTTATTGAGTGTTGAACACAGCACAGGAAACTCTCAATGCTTTAGGCCTGGCCTCCCTCAGCCCAGCACATCCCAGTCTCCCCTGCATCTAGGTGGGCTCTGCCTGCTCCCCCTCTCCAGCCCCAAGCCCCCCTGCTCCCAGCTGGGCATCTGAGATCACCGGCCCCAGGCCCCGCCTCTGTCCATTGTCTTCTCTCCAGGTAAACAGGGTCGCCTGGGCCTCCTCTCCCATCTTCTGTCCTCTGGCCCCCTCTGGCTGGAACCGGCTGGTCAGATCACCGGGGTCCCCTCGCCGCAGCCCATTGACCTCCCACTGGCCAGAACCGGCTGTGACTTCCGAGCTGGGCCTGCGGGTCACCCGGTCACCACCCCGTCACCAGGCCATCGGCTGGGGTCCCAAGTTCCCTCTCCGGTCCTCTGTAACCTCGAACTCTCTCTCCCCTCCCTCGTTAAACCAGTAGCACCCAGGGAAACTGAGTCCCACCCCCTCTGCATGCAAACCCTAGGGAAAACAAGAAAATCCCCCATAGGAAACAAGGAAAAACAAGAAACTCCCCCACTTCGTCACATCCCCCCATGCCCCTCCTCTGCTGTAACCTGCCTCCCCCCCAGGCCGCCTTCAGCACGACGGAGATGGCGCTGGCCCTGAACCGGTACCTGTGCTGCGCCGTGCTGCCCCTCGTCACCAAGTGCGCGCCCCTCTTCGCGGGCACCGAGCACCGCGCCATCATGGTGGACTCCATGCTGCACACCATCTACCGGTTGTCCCGCGGGCGCTCCCTCACCAAGGCCCAGCGCGATGTCATCGAGGAGTGTCTCATGGCCCTGTGCCGGTACGGCCCGGCGAGCCCTGGGGCTGGGGCCTGGCCCCTTGGGACATAGGGCCTGGCCACTTGGACCTCTGTCCTGACCCCCATTGGGACACGGCGCCTGGCCCCTTGGACCCCCAGCCTGACCCCAATCGGGGCACTGGACACATGGTTTGGCCCCTCAGACCTCAGGTCTGAGCCCCCTTGGGACACAGGGCTTGGCCCCTCGGACTCCCATCAGGGCATGAGACCTGGCCCCTCTAGGGTGCCCTGTCCTGGTTTTGCTGGACCCAGCTGGGGCCGTGGGACACGAGGCCTTTCCTCGCTAGGGGCCACTGGCTGTGAGTGGAACCAGCTGGGTCTGTGGCACTGCGGCCCCAGCTCCAACCGATGCCAGGTGTTGAGACCCCCATCCACAGCGGAGGCTGTACCGGGCTGCCAGCCCTACTCGGGGCGTCCCCAGCTGTCCCGGCAGGGAGGGCCTTCCTGACCCCCAGCCGCTAGTCAGCTCCCACCCTGAAGCCTGAGGACTGAGGCGCGCCAAGCAGGCACTGCCATTTGCCTTGGGGATACCCTGCAGCGGGAGGTTCCGCAGGTTCATTCACTCCCCTCCAGTGTCTCGGGCAGCATGTCCCGCTGTGAGAGTGGCTCTCTCCCCCCAGGTACATCCGGCCCTCCATGCTACAGCACCTGCTGCGCCGGCTGGTCTTCGACGTGCCCATCCTCAATGAGTTTGCCAAGATGCCCCTGAAGGTGAGGGGTTGGGCGGGGGACACACGCGGGGCTGCTGCGCAGGCCGTGCGCCGGCTTGCTGCTCGGTGGTAGAGAACACTGGGCGGGGGGCACGGCCACAGCTGGGGGGGGCCGTGGGACCGGGCACAGTGGAACAGCTGCTGTCTGGTGGGCAGGGCTGGGCTGTCCTGGCGCATACCGGGCTGGAGGGGGCGGGGCTGAGATGCTGCCAGGAATGTAACGCGGGGGGGGCTGCGCTAGCGTATGCCATGCAATGCGCTGGATGGGGACGGCTGGCCAGGCCGTGGGGCCCTGGAACGCGCCTTTGCGGGGCCGCGGGGCCCTGGAACACGCCTTTGTGGGGCCGGCCGGGCCGTGGGGCCCTGGAACGCGCCTTTGCGGGGCCGCGGGGCCCTGGAACACGCCTTTGCGGGGCCGTGGGGCCCTGGAACGCGCCTTTGTGGGGCCGGCCGGGCCGTGGGGCCCTGGAACGCACCGAGGCGCGGCCGATGAGCTCGCAGTGCAGCAGAGAGCGGGGCGCTACCCAGCGACGGCTGCTTTGGGGTCCCCCAGCTCGGGGGGCTGCCCCAGTGCCCAGCGCGCCAGGGGAGGGCGGTGCCCATGGCTGCGATGCCCCCCCCTGGGCTGTGTACGGTCTGCGACCCAGCGGGCGCCCCCAGGAACTGTATCCATCCGCCCCCAGCTCCTGAACAACCACTACGAGCGGTGTTGGAAGTATTACTGTCTGCCCACCGGCTGGGCCAGCTACGGGGTGAGCTCTGAGGAGGAGCTGCACCTCACCCGCAAGCTCTTCTGGGGCATCTTCGACTCCCTGGCCCACAAGGTGCGGGGGGGGGGGGAGTGGGGGTACTATTGTGTGATTAGGGGAGACAGGGGTTGGGGACTGGGGGGGGCAAGGATGGGGGAGGGGTGATAGGGGAGGGGGCTGGAAGGCAGAATGGGAGAGGGAGGATGGGGAGGAGAGGGAGGTCTGGGGGGCAGAAGGAGGGAGGAAATGGGGGGCTGGGGGCAGGGTGCTGGCTGGGCCCCCCTGACCCCGCCCCCCCCTGCAGAAGTTCAAGGCGGAGCTGTACAAGCTGGCCATGCCCTGCCTGTGCGCCATCGCCGGCGCCCTGCCCCCCGACTACGTGGACGCCAGCTACTCCTCCAAGATGGAGAAGAAGGCCTCCGTGGACGCCGAGGGCAACTTCGACCCCAAGCCCGTCGAGACCCTCAAGTGAGGAGCTCCCAGACTGGGGTCATGGGGGGGGCCCTGGGTGGCGTAGATCCTCCTGCCCCCTGGGAGTGCCCCTCACTCCCAACCCGCAGCCCCCTGCCCCCCCAGCTCTGCTGGTGCCCCTCACTCCCAACCCACCAGCCCCCTGCCCCCCCGGCTCTGCCGGTGCCTCTCACTCCCAACCCGCAGTCCCCTGCTGTTCCCGTCCCAGAGCTCTGTGGGGCAGGCACCCCCATTGGGAGTGCTGGGCTGTGGGGCAGCATTCCTTTGGGATGGAGTTTGCGCCCCCCCAACCCTGCCCCCCCCCCAAAGCCACGTGTGCCCAGGCCCAGCTTGGAAGCTCCCCCCTGAGCACTGCTTCCCCCCCCACAGCGTCATCATCCCCGAGAAGCTGGACACGTTTATCAACAAATACGCCGAGCACACGCACGAGAAGTGGGCCTTTGACAAGGTACAGGGCCCGTGGCCCACAATGCACTGCTTCCTCCACCGGCCCACAATGCACTGCTTTCCCCACCTGCCCACAAAGCACTGATCACCCCTGCCAGCCCACAATGCACTGCTTCCCCTGCAGGCCCACAGTGCACTGCTTCTCCTGCCCCTGCTAGACCACAATGCACTGCTTCCCCTATGTGACCTCCCCATGACCCCCTGCGACTCTACCCTTGCTGTGAACCCTCAGGACCTCCTGACCTCCTTGTGACCTCAGTGTGACCTCCCCATGACCCCCAGGTCCACCCTGTGACCTCCGCCCTCTGTGTGACTTCCCTTGTTACCCCCCAACCCCACCCCCTCTGGGCATGACTCCTGGGGCCAACACCTGGGACCTTTCCTCCGGCAGATCCAGAACAACTGGACCTTCGGGGAGACGATCGATGAGGAGGCCAAGACCCACCCCATGCTGCGTCCTTACAAGACCTTCTCTGAAAAGGTACCCGCCCTTCCCCCTCCTGGCCCCAGCCCATTGGCCCCCCCACCTACACCCCCCCACACACTCCAGCCGCCCCCCCGCCAGCCAGACTCCCACAATGCATCTGCCAGGCTGCACAGGTTGGGGACGGAGACCCTCGGTTTCCCCCCCCCATCCCCCTCCATCTCCCCAGTGGTGCGGTTCTCAGCCCTCAGTCCAAGGGGGGTGTCCTCCCGTCATACTACCCGCCTCCCCCCCCACCCCTGACCAAGCCCTGAGCCAGCACCCGGCTTGGCCCCGCAGGACAAGGAGATCTACCGCTGGCCCATCAAGGAGTCGCTCAAAGCCATGATCGCCTGGGAGTGGACGGTGGAGAAGCCCCACGAGGGCGAGGAGGAGAAGACAGAGAAGAAGAAGACGCGGAAGATCTCGCAGTCGGCCCAGGTGAGGGCAGCGCGGCTTGTGGGGGGCTCAGGACTCCTGGGTTCTGTCCCGGCTCTAGGAGAGGAGTGGGGTCTAGTGGTTAGAGCAGGGGAAGGGGTTTTTGGGGATCTGGACTCCCCAGCTCTGGGAGGGCAGTTGTGTCCAGTGGTCAGAGCAGGGGGCTGAGAGCCAGGACTCCTGGGTTCTCTCCGCAGTTCTGCCGTTGGGAGCAGACTCCGTGGGGGGAGGGGAGCACTGAGCTGCCCATCCAGCGAAGCGAGCCCCGCCTAGGGTGGGTTTGTAGGGGGGCGGCTTGGCCTCTATGGCCAGCCTGACACTCTGAGGGCCATCCCCACCCCCTGGAATGAACCTGCAGCCCTCTAGCCCCATGGTGCCTGGAGGCCACACAGCGTGGGCATTCGGAGCTGGGTGGGCGAGAGCACCAGCCTGTGAACCACAGAGGATCCCCACCAGCCGGGAGCAGTAGAGGGCCCATGACACACAGAGGGAGACGCTCCAGATCCAGCCAGCATGGAGGTGCGATTGGGGGAGGGGAAACGTGGGGCAGTGATGGTACGACCTGCGGGGGGGGGGAGGGAAATAGCCCCTCTGAACTCTAATCCCTCCCCCACAGGCGACCTATGACCCCAGCCACGGCTACAACCCCCAGCCCATCGACCTGTTGGGGGTGACGCTCTCCCGGGAGCTGCAGGTGAGACACGTTCCCCCCGATCTGGGCCCTTTACCCCCCGTGCCAGTGGAGGTCAGGTGGGGGAGGGATGGGCCGTGGTGGGATTGGTACATCTGGGTGTGCTCCATGGAGTGAAATAGGTCACACTCCCTGGCTGGGTAGGCCCCATAGTGCCCCATAAGGGGTGAATAGCTCACAATCCCCCCTTCCCCCCCACAGGCCATGGCGGAGCAGCTGGCTGAGAACTATCACAACACCTGGGGGCGTAAGAAGAAGCAGGAGCTGGAGGCCAAAGGTGAGTGTCTCCGTCCGTCTGTCCGTCCCCCCCGGGGAGCGTCTCTGTCTGCGCCTTCCCCAGCCCAGAGTCTGCCCCCGGCTGACGTCTCTCTCCGCAGGGGGCGGCTCCCACCCGCTGCTGGTGCCCTACGACACGCTGACGGCCAAGGAGAAGGCCCGGGACCGCGAGAAGGCCCAGGAGCTGCTCAAATTCCTACAGATGAACGGCTACGCCGTGACCAGGTAGGGGCGGGGCCCCGCCGGGCGGGAAGAATGACGACGACACCTCTCCATGGCTCACCGCGCTTCTGGGATCCCTGGGCCCCCTTTCCCCCCCCATCCCATGGGCTGCACGTCAGGCCTCATCCCCATCTGGGGGGGGGATCACCCCATTGAGTCCATTGCCCCTGGGGGGCCAGACTGTCCCCCTCACCTGTTCCCCCCCTAAGGGCGGGATTGTCCCCGCCAGTCTATTCCCTTCCCCAGGAGTGGGTCTGTCACTGTCTGTTCCCCCCGGGCTGTGGCTGGAGACGCCAGTGCCCTGACCCTGCTCTCCCACAGGGGGCTGAAGGACATGGAGCTCGACTCCTCTTCCATCGAGAAGCGATTTGCCTACGGCTTCCTGCAGCAACTGCTCAAGTGGATGGACATCTCGCAAGAGTTCATCGCCCACCTGGGTAGGGTGCACACCCCCTGCCATGCGCCCCTGGCTGCCCCCTCCCAGAACCATTGGGACCCACAGCGGCTCGGCCGCACCCTGTGTCTCTGGGGCGGGCAGTAAATCCGGGGATTGGAGCAGGGGCTGGGAGCCAGGACTCCGGGGTTCTGTGCCCAGCTCTGGGAGGGGAGTGGTGTCTAGGGGTTAGAGCAGGGGAATTGGGAGCCAGGACTCCTGGGTTCTCCTGGGTGCTAGCTGCTCCCCAGGGGCTTGGAGGCATCTGCAGAAATATGGAAAAGTTGCCTGAACGTATTAAAGCTTGAATCTACCCAGAGTCCCGGGGTTGGGAAGGAGGAAAAATCCCCACAGTCCCCCAGGTGCTCACAGCATCTTGTCTTCTTGCAGAGGCCGTAGTGAGCAGCGGGCGGGTGGAGAAATCGCCCCACGAGCAGGAGATCAAGTTCTTTGCCAAGGTAAGTTTGTCCAGACTGGTCCATCCCCCCTGCAGTCAAAGGGGGGCTCCTCCGGTGGGGAGGGGGTGCCTGAGCCATGGGAGTGTGGAGGAGGGGTTTTGATCCTGGGGAAGGGGTATCTGAGCCGTGGGGGAGTATTAAGTGCTGGAGGCTGGGATATTGTTGCCTTTGTAACGCAGTTCAGGTGGCCTGATGCTTGTGTCCTCGGAGCTCCGGTGTTATCGGCACTAGCAGGTAGCGCAGGTTGCCCGGTGTGTCTGTCCATAAATTGTTGGGCAAAAGTCAACATGGTTTCTGTAAAGGGAAATCATGTCTTACTAATCTACGGGCACGTCTTCACTACCCGCCAGATCGGCGGGTAGCAATCGATCCATTGGGGATCGACTTATCGCGTCTAGTGAAGACGCGATAAAATCAATCCCTGATGGCTCTGCCGTCAACTCTGGAAATCCACCGTGGCAAGAGGCGGAAACGGAGTCGACGGCGGTGCGGCCGCGGTCGACTCGCCGCAGTCCTCACAGCCAGGTAAGTCGACCTAAAATACGCAACTTCAGCTACACTATTCACGTAGCTAAAGTTGCGTATCTTAGGTCGCCCCCCCCCCCCCCCCGTAGTGTAGACCTAGCCTATTAGAGTTCCTTGAAGGGGTCAACAAACATGTGGACAAGGGGAATCCAGTGGACATAGTGTACGTAGATTTCCAGAAAGCCTTTGACAAGGTCCCTCACCAAAGGCTCTTACGTAAATTAAATTGTCATGGATAAGAAGGAAGATCCTTTCATGGATTGAGAACTG